GAAATACTCATGGTGGCTACGGTTTTGGAGTAACTAATGAAGAAGGTAGAACTATTTTAAATTTTGCTTTAGCGTATGATTTTATTGTTACTAATACTTTATTCAAGAAAAGAGATGAGCATCTTATTACTTATAAGAGTGGATATAATAAAACACAAATTAATTATTTTCTTATGAGAAGAAGAGATCGTAGCAATTGTAAAGATTGTAAGGTCATTCCAAGTGAGAATTTAAGTACCCAAGATCATTTATTAATTCTAGATTTTAAGATTAAGAGTTACAAAATAAAGAATACTAGGACTCATCATCAAAGAATTAGATGGAGAAACTTAAAAGACACAAATAAAATTATTTTTATGAGTAAAATTCAAGATTTCAAATTTTGGGATGTTCATGAAGAAGCAAATGTTATGTGGGATAAAGTTATAACTACTATTAAACAAGTAGCAAAAGATGTATTGTTCATGAAGAAGCAAATGTTATGTGGAATAAAGTTAAAACGTTTCTATAAATAAAAATAGTTGGTGGTAAAATAATAATGTGTAAGTCAAAATAAAATATAAGGAGTTATGTTATAAAAATTGGTTTAAATGTAAAAGGTTAGAGAATTGAAAAAAATATAAAACAACCCGTAGAGTCTGAGGGAACAATTTGTGATGCTGAAAATCATGCTTTTAATGTCTTTATAATAAATTAGATACTAAAGTGAGTGAAAATTATATGTATAAACTAACCAAATAAAGAGAAAAGAAAAGTAAAGATTTAACTCAAGTAAGGTGTATTAAAGATGAAAATCAAAAAGTACTTTTCTTAGAAAAAGATATTCAACATTGGTGAGTGAGTTATTTTGATAAAATTTTTAATGAAGTTTCTGAAAATACGATCGATCTTAGTGATCTTAATATTATGAATAATAATAAAATGTTTCATTTTTATCATCGCAATAGTAAAAAAGAAGTTGAGGTGACTTCAAAGAAAACTAAGGGTGGAAAGTTTGTAGGACCTAATGATATCTCAATTGAAGTGTGGAAATATTTGGGAGATTTTGGAGTTTCTTGGCTAACTAAACTCTTTAATATTATTTTAAAAATTAAAAAGATGCCTGAGGAGCGGAGGAAGAGTATTTTGGTCCCCATTTTTAAGAATAAGGGGATGCACAAGAGTGTGCAAATTATAGAGGAATTAAGTTGATGTGTCATACTTTAAAGTTATGGGAGAGGGTAATTGAACATAGGTTAAGACACATCACAAAAATTTCTCATAATCAATTTAAATTTATGTCGGGTAGGTCTACTATGGAAGCTATACATTTATTGAGAGGATTGATGGAGAAAGTCAGAGATAATAAGGAGAATCTAAATTTGATTTTTATTGATTTAGAAAAAGCTTACGATAATGTTCCAAGAGATATTCTTTGGAGAGTTCTTGAGAAGAAAGGTGTTGATATGACTTATATTCAAGTCATTAAAGTTATGTATACTAGAGCTGTTACTTGTGTTCAAATTAAAGGAGGATTGACCAAATATTTTCCTATTTCTATTGGATTACATTAGGGAACGGCTTTAAGCCCATATCTTTTTGCTTTAGTTATGGATGGTCTTACTGGACATCTATAGGAGGATGTACCTTGATGTATGCTTTTTGCTGATGATCTCCTTATCGTGGATAAAACGAGAGAAAAAGCCCAGGAAAAA